GCAGATGTTTTTTATGCTCAAACAGCAACATTACAGACCAACTAATAGCATAATAGGACCCCTTTAACTTTTGTAAGATCTAGATTTTTTTTTCAATAATTTTTGACTAAGATAAGTCTGTAAATTTCTTTTATATATATATATATCTCTCATTTAGAATTGTTTTTATTTTTTTATGTAATCATCTGAGGTGAGAAAGGCCAACCCTTTCATATTAGGTTTTTTCCCTTGTTTCGTGTTTTTTTTAGGTTGGATTTAGTTTAGATAAGTTTATAATTGTCATGCATTGAAATTTTCAAAGTTTTAATTGTTCAAATCGTGGGACACTGAAGTGTACCATATTAATACAATGCTCCTCCTGCCATTTTGAGCAAAGCAGTCAGTTTCTTTTTGTTGCAGGTCTGGGATCTGAACAGAGGTCAGATGCTGCAAGACCTTGAGTGTCATAAGGGTGCTGTCCTGTCATGTGACGTGTCTTCTGACGGATGTCTCTTTGCCACCACATCGGCCGATAGGACTGCTAAGGTCAGAGAAGAGGCACAGATTCATACATCAGATCAGTGTCAGCGGACAAGATATTGTTCACATTAAACTGAGCTTCGGCTGCCTCTGTGTTTAGATCCTGGTCTCCGACTGTGCGAACACCTGCTCCCGTTACACTGTTAGTTTGTTTACTGTAGGTGTGAGTCTGTTGGTACGGTGTAAGGACTGTGCTAGGTGACTACCTGGAGTATCTTTACTGAGCCCTGGGTGCTTGCCTTAATGATGCCATGTACAGCCAAATTCTGCCTAATTAACTTTGCGTGAGTGCAGTACAAAGCTCACGGATACACGTACACGCATGACGTCCTCTGTTTGTGGTATCAGAGGTCAGAGTCCAGTCTGCTCTTCTGAGCGTGTAATGAGATTAAGTTCTCTCGCTCCTTATGACACCGCCTATACCAGAAGAGCTTTCTAATGAGATGCCATGTTCACGTCTGTCTGCCAGAGCTTCTCACTGAAGAGAGTGAGAGAGGATGGCAACGTGAATTTGGAGAGCTGAGCAGAAAAATCATTCATGCCAAATGGACCCGCCGCAAATAATGGCTAACTCTGACTAAAATTAGAGATGGGAAAAAAATTTCAAGCAGCAGTTTTGATAATTTGCTCAACCTTGTTCCGATTCCATTTATTATTAGGTTAACAATTTCACAAAGAAATCTATCAAAAATGACATTAGATGTCTTTGAATGATTTTACAGCACAAAATAGCAATGTTATGAGAGTTGCTCTTGTTCAGTTCATGCAGTAAAATGGCTCATAACTGCTGATTTCTGTTCCTTAAGGTGTGGAGCAGTGCTTCGTGGGAGATGACTTTTTTGCTGAAGGGACACGAGGACTGCGTCCGTAGCTGCCGTTTTTCTTGGGACAACAAGCGACTTGCGACGGGCGACGACAATGGAGAAATCAGGGTAAGTATAAACTTAAGCTGCTTCAAATTGTAAATCAACTGTTAAAAGGAGTAAAGATCTGATTGTGGCCTTGATCAATCTTCAGAAAGATTTTGTGTTATGCTGAGGAGTTGGGATATTTATGACCTCATCCCTCTTTTATAACTTTTTATTTATTTGATTTATTTTTTCAACCAAAAAGCCAGTAATGATGCCTAATAAAAGTACACTGGTATTTTTGTGTAAAAAAAA